TCTCCTTTGTCTTGTCCGTGTTGAGGCTGAGATTATTGTCCTTGCACCATGACACCAGACCGGCCACCTCCCTCCTGTAGGCTGCCAGTGATGTGACCTGTCACGTCCGCGAACTTTAGTTTAACTTTAATTTAACCATAAATGAAACAGGTTATCACCCGCAGCCGGCTGGGATTGGCTCCAGCCCCTCGTGACCCCGTTTGGGACTAAGCGGTATAGAAAATGGATGGATGAAACAGGTTACCATTTATAGAGTGTGGATAACCTATCAAGTGGCCTGTAGAAGGGATTTCCCCCACAGAATACCACATATTTTTCATACTTGCAGTATTAAGGTGAAGACACTATTTCTATATGACTGTGTTTAGTAATACCCACTTTGCCAGCTTTTAAACATATACTGTATTTGCACTGCACAAGTTTTCCATGTGAGTAGAAGTGATTGATCCATGTAAAGCTGACAACGTTGAAAAGGTTAATAATTTAAGGTATTACAAGGAAAATACAGTTTAAAGTTGTTTAAGCACACTGGCACATGAGTTCACACCTCTTTTATAAAATTGTACAACCAATTATATAATTATACACAAGAGTGTCTGCAACTGCTTCTCCACGACAGCATGTTTGCTTTTGACTTCAGTATTTTCTTTAGTCAATTCACTCTCAAAGTTCAGTTGAAAAAACAAAGATTACACTAAATGACTTAGTGCAGTTTTGTAGATAAGGAAATAGACTATTGCCATTACTTGTGCATGTTTCTTTTGTTTGCAGGCCAAGTTATTCACCGAAAAAGGTTTCTAGGTTAATATGTTTTTAGCCTGTAGGCTTGGTTTAACAAAGAACCTGGTTAACCTGATTCTACCTGATATACAGTATCTGCCTATATGTTTGCTCAATAACATTGCTCAACATTATCAAAAATATTTTAACCATTAATTTCATTTAAATATAAATTACTAAATAAATGTATTGTGCTTGTAATGTTATTAAAACATTTTTGCATCCAGTAATTCTTGGTCTGCACTGAGTTCATCATTTCAACGGTATATAGATAGATACTTTATTGATTCCAAGGGAAATTCAGGTATCTTCTTTTTAATATAATCAGAAAAACACAGATTTGTGACTTGAAATCATCCTTAAATCAAACAGATCATTCTATCAATTTAAAGGTTTTTCAGTTCACTACAACCACAGATGTAGAAATTTCCAAGCAAATAAATGTCCACATTAATCAACAGCAAAAAGCAAGTGATATAAACAAATGCCAAAAAAAGCAAGTGCCCACACTGACAGTAATACAGATACTTAGTTCACTGAAACCTATTGCTTCATTTTTTCCATCAACTTCACAAAACTTGTTTAATCTGTAGCAGCATTATTAGAATCGATTTATGTAAAAATATTACAAACCTCATTACTTATATCTTCATAACTATAACATTTTACAGCTATATTATATTGATACAAGAGGTACACAGAAAATGAAATGCTTTTGATGCCACTCTATGAATCATACTAAAGCAGCAGTATATCGGGCATGAAGCAGCCTGAATATCTGGCTAAATACGAGTCTACAGACTAAAGCTGGTGTATGCAGCAGTGCATCTGGTGTTTGGGTCAGTTTTATCATGTAAGTAGACGCATCAGACTTTACCTATTATAATATTCATGATGAAATCATTTTGTGATTATGAAAATTTGTCTTTCACAGTTAATGTTAATTTATTCAATGAAAAATACAATTACTGTACATACAATAGCTGTATACCATACATTTGGAAATTCAAAAGTTATGATCAGCAGCATTCATATAGAAATTGCCCATCACCACATAGTAGCATTTATAAGCAAACATTTGTGGTAAAAAAATATTCAATTTCTAGGTTTATCAGGGTGCTTTGCTTCAAACGCAAAATTTATATAATTAACACATGAATTTAATACCGGCGTTTACCTTTCCAATAAAAATTTAAAAGCATGGCTAGACACGACTGCTATACCCACTTTTGAAGTTGACAGTACCAACCATTCTATGGAGACATTAGCATGGATGTACAAGCATTCTCTTAGAACATGGGAAAAACAGTTCAACAAAAAAAAAAAAATAATAAAAATCTAATTTGGTCAAGCTATGGTTCTTTTGCAGTAATCCCTATTTGTGCAGCAACGCTGTAATCAGTCACAGTACATAAAATGAAACCATATCATATTTCTAACTTTCAAAACAAAAACGGATTAAAGCTGAATCATGCAAGCAAACACGTGCATTCTGTAACCTGCATCTATCAGTGCGTAACCAGGTCTCCAGGGAGAACAGCCTGCTGCAACCTGCACAGACTTCAAACAACAGCCAGGCAGAAAAAAAGAGCAATAAGTCACTATAGTAAGTTTAGGTCATGAAGAAATTCAGCTGCTTTACCTCCTCTTTTGTGCCAGATTTCCATGGAAGAAGTTATTGTCACTAATCTCAGATGGAAGTCACTCATTTGTTTGACATCAAACATGAAATGCATGGGTAAGAGAGGAACCAAGTCTCTAGGCCTTATGAGTACCATGCCATCTTATAAGATCATACAGTAGTACCTCTAGGCACAAATCTGGAAACAAAGTCCGAACAAATCTTGACCTAACCCCCCACCCCGAAAAAAACAAAAGCCACTTGTGTCTAGGAGCATTTTCATCTAACCTGTGGAAGAGTAAACTGCGTCACACAGTAAATATTTCTGTCCCATTTCTCACACATTGAGGTCACATCGGCAGTAAGTGGTCATCTCTTTCTTCTGGCTCTTCCTCTACAGGTTCTGTGGGCCCTCTCCTGTAAGCTGGGGAGTCCTCTCGATTTCGTGACCGGCAGACAAAGTCACACCCATCCTGTCAGGGTGAGGTAAAGTTTGTTTTGAATTTCAAAAAAATGTCACATGAGCCTGAGCTTTTATTGACATGATTTGATCAACTGATCCCACTTACAGCTGTCAGATTGCCAAACTCTACCCAGAAGGCGTAATTGGGGAATTGCTCCATCCCTTTGGCTCCAACAATCAGCCGCTGATAGAGGAAACCTCCAATGAGGTAAACAGCCAGAAGACAGACCCCACTACAAAAAAACAAAAGAAAACAGAGAACACATATGAGGGAGCTGGGGAACAGGCTCCTCACTACAGTGAGAGAGGTCAAGGACACACATGCACTTTCACTTGTAAAGTTAATCATTAGACTAATGCAGGATTTTTTTTTTTTTTTGGCTATGTGGTGCTTTCATTTTCTGAACTTCTATCAAACACTCTCTCTTAAAGATTTACTTACTGGGAGCATGTTTTCATGGCATGCACACATGTGAATGCAGCCACACAACTCCAGCTATTGAACCTGAAAGTTTGGTCTTTTGGTTTGCCCACCAATTCTGTCTTTGTAAGTAGGTCTTCGACCTAGAAATCTAGTCCAGTTGATTTTTTCTAAGTTTTTTTCAGCTTACTATGACCTGGATGACTGAGAATCTGCACATGACATGTTCTGGAACCTTTTTGTGATCACCAGTAAAAATCAGAGCTGAGGAAAATCATCTTTGCATCACTCAATAATGCTGGCTTTCATCCTGTTTGTGAGGATCTTCTCCACAAATCCTTACAGCACTTATGATTAATGACCTTTTACAATATTATGTGTTATAACATTAAGGATTTTTGTGTCTGCTTTTACACACATGATGAGTAATATGGAGCCAGTGCCCATCTTGGACTCAAGAGCTGGGCAAACCGCACTGGAATCCAGCTCAAACAGGTAGAAACAGTCATTCGTCCTCTCCCTCTCCTCTAGCACCACCTCCAGCTCACCCTGTGAGCCACACAGACAAAAGAAAATAAAAGGTAACATACACTTAGAAAAGGAGACGGTGCAAGACTAGACGACATACAGGAGAAACACTAGGTCATGTTCGAAACCTACATTAACAGTGTGTGAATAAATGCAGCACTGGCCGACCAAAGACAGGCTGGTAACTTAACATGAACACTGTATTTCTACTTTTTACCTCACATTGTTGAAACAAGATAAAATGACAAAATTCTGTCACTGGGTTATAAGCCTCTGTGCAGGGAAATGCAACTCAAAGAGGCCTGGGTCAAGTTTCATCTTCACACCACTATGTGAAGCAACACACCACCACCAACAAAGACCTTTGTATTTTTTAATTTTTTTTGCAGTTTTTGATTTAATGCCCTGTAATTTTTCTCAAATCTAGTGATCTCAGAGTCATCTATATTTCTTTTACCATGTCCGTCTTCCTGTTGCAAGAGATCATGATAATGGCTGTCCTCTTTTCGCTGGAGCAGTGGCTATCATATTTGTCACCATTTTTGTAGATCAACATTACCCAGTCACCTGAAAGCACAGGAAAATGTCAAAAGAGACAAGATCTACAGCACCATATGAAAGGTCTGCCCATGTTTACAGTCATTTCAAGAGCAAAGAGTATGAAATTTTTAAGCTCCAGGCTTATTGTGCTTATAGTTTGCCACAAAACATAATGCAACTCCAAAAATCCCAATTTTAGTACTTTTCCAGTTCCATTTTGCAAAAAACCAAGTCTGAGAAAATCTGGCTGACATTCTTATATTTTGCAGACTTACTTCCTCCAAAGGCCTTTGTTGCATAATACGTGCCAATCACAGTTACTTTCTTTTCCTTTGCCTTCATGTCCATTTGGATAACCCCGGCTCCTGGAACGTTCCCTGCATCCCCACATACCTGGAACACGTATTTGTAACTCTCATCTCCATTCTTGGACTTGGACTCTGCTGTAATGCTGTCAACATGAATGGCAAGAGACAAAGAGGCAAAATTCTTCTGTTAAGACTGGACTACATAGTCAATTAGTGCTAACTTTTTTAATGGATAAAGGTCTATCCCAAAGACAAACTAAGGGCATACTGTACGTATGTGCAGTTACTTCTTACTTCTTATGGGTGAGTGGTGCCAGTCGAGTGAGGACTTTCTGTTCTGACACAGAGTTGGAGAGCACTTTACAGTTTTCTATGCCATCACTGGCGTACACCCCACAAAGGACCAGATGAATCATCAGGGTCCACACCAGGAAGAGCCCTCCACTTGGACTACTGAACACCTGGAACAGATGTTACATGAAAAAGGTTATTGGCACTCAGCATTTTTTTAAGAGAGACCGTTATTTCATTTATGACCAAGTAAGCGATTCTCAAATACATTTCTTCTTTTCATTTGCAGTTAGGGTTGGACAACATGCCAGTGTATACTTTGGGACAATATAAACTATCTGCCTTCAGAGATTTTTCTATGCAGTTTATATGATCATAGTATAAATGTGGTGGTAGTGTAAATGCAACAAATATAATATTCCATTTACAAGAGGAAAAAAAAGAGCAACACATCCTCACATCTGTAATCATTTTGAACCAGTGAATATTGGCTTTTTGTTTCATAAATAAATAATCAAAATTGCTGTTCTTGTTTCATCTCTCTGAGTGGGGCTTCAGATAGTGACTCATCACTGATTAATCTAACAATTATTTTCTCCCTTAGTCAATTTGTCTACAAGATAAAATGCAAGAAATACCCTTTATAAGCATCCTCTTCAAATGTTTTTTGTCTGACCATCAGTCCAAAAATCGAAGACAATCATTCATGATATGACAAAGAAAATGATCATATCTTCACCCCTATAAAGCCACATGTGAGTAATTGCTGCAACTATTCTACTGACTATGCAGCTTGTACATACTCATTAAATGCTTCCTGAACACGCGCGCGCGCACACACACACATACACACAAATAGTAAAAACTACCTGAAAACCATTTAAGGTACCGTTAACCAAAAGTTTAGGCTACAATATCCAACTAAAAAGGGACACAAAGTTGTTGGTTGGAGTTCTGACCTAGGAAACAGTGAGTTATAAAAGCTAAACAATGCTACACCAGGCTGCACTGTGCACCTACCTTCATGGCTTCCTCTGTAAATGAGTGGGAAAAGCTTCTCTGTTATTTACAGTTTAACCTACAAGCTGAATGATGTTTTAAAATGTAGCCTGTAGATGATGTGAACTTCCCCACGCTAGTGTCGCTTCCTGGTTGCCTTTATCTGTGATGTAGCTGCTATTTTGTTACGCAGATTAAATAAAATAAACGTGCAGTCAGTCAGAAGTTGTACATATAAACGTTGTTAGCTACACGTTCTTCTGTCCTGGATAACAAACGCGCCTAACCTCAAACTCTGTAAGGTGAATACCCAGGAGGCTAACAGGCTACACACAGGAGCGGAGTGCGGAAGTGAAACTCAACACGCTCACACACAAACATGTGACCAAGGACGTGCACGTGACCGTTCCAGTGACGCGCGACCAGTGAGCTCAGTACTCACCCGCATCAGCTGATCTGAGAGCGGCACGGTTCAAAAAGCCAGTTGTCTTCAGTTTGCTCCGTGTCTAAGTTTCTACCTCTGTCTACGCCAACACAACCTGCTACCTTTGTCATTTTAAAGGTGCGTCTTTCGCGTGTAAGTGCATTAATTCATGCTACACAAAGGGAAATACTGTACAACGGATTTACAACTGTCTGAGAAGCTGGAGATGGATACAAACCAAAAGCGTTTCGCGTAACTTGACACGATTGGACTTTAAACCAAATTGCACTTATTCCTCAAATATGACATTTTTATATAAATATTGTTAAAGTCATTGGCACATAAACTGTAACCCTGTGTAAGATCTGAGGCAAAATATTAACATGTAACTATTAGAGATGCACCGATCGATTGGCCAAGATTGAAAATGGCCTGTTTACAGAGTGACCGGCCGATCACTCTGAGATTACCAGTTCTGTGCTGGTCAGATTTAGAAGTACGACAGTTCACGTCGTGCACGCAGTGGCAGACCCAAAGTGAAGCGTGTGCAACATGTAGCATCTTGCATGCACCTCGAGCAATGCTCGTGCTTGTGTCCGTGTCTATACCGGGCACGTGTTCACTCGTGCATGTTGTCATGTATAGTATTTAAAAGACATTTTTTCAACTTTGTAGCCATTTTGGAGGCTCCAGTTTGTGGTGTGGTCAAAATATGTTGCATTACACTAAAAAATGTATAAAGTAATTGAAAAGTATTATCACTATTCACTATAATGCAGTACAATGTGGCAGTGCCACAAACCATAAATGAGGTAATCACCATAATTTTAAAAAGAAGGGAAATTATGGTTTATGGTAATGGAAGTGTAAAGTGATTATTTTAGTTATAATTTGGATGATGTTTCCTGCTGTATAATTGACATTGTTTACAATAGAAGTATTTATTTTATCAGGTTGTTGATAATGTCAGTCACATGGAATAATTTAATTTCTCTAGGATTACAGTGGAATGGAGACAGTGTTGTTTGTAAATGTGTATTTAACCATGTGGGAATATTGTTAAAAATATTTCTGCTTTGGTGGAAATGATGGTCTGTACCTTATTGAAATTTGCATACAAGACAACCTTTAACCTGTTTAGATTTTGATCAGACTGATTGTCCTGAAACAGTGATCTATGTTTCTAATCATCAACAAGGCTGCACATTCCTCACAGGACCATTTAAAATGATGAGATTAAAAATGGCAAACATTTACTCAGGTTTCTTTCTGTGGTTTTATTCATTGCAGAGAGCACTACATTTTTGTAAGATGCCATCGTTAGCTTCTTACTTTCCACTGGATTTAAATGCCTTATTTTAGGGGGAAGAATTCAGTTAAAAAGTTACTTTTCTGACATTTATGAGTGCTGCAACATTATGCTTGCAACTTCTCAGCTTGGTCCACATAAAGGGAACAATCAATATATTAACTCCAGCTCCAGCATCCCTGCAAAGGATAATAGGAATAAAAGTTTAACACCACTCGGTATAAGATAGTTTGTTAATGTAGATAATTCATTAAGTAAAGGAAAAATTAAGTAAAATAAAGCACGCAAAAAAAAAAAAAAAAGGAGGAAAGAAGTGTGAAATTGATCTTTATTGTCTTTAGTCAAATGCTAATGACAGAGTTGTGGTGCTCCAGATCTTTCATCTCAGGTCACCTCAGTACTCAATCAACAGTAAAGAAGTCATTGTTTGAGAAATAATTCACACATCACCTTTGGCATGTCCCTTGTTTTGTTTACTCCTCCTGACTGCTTAATCTTTTTATTTTTAATCATAAGAGACATTTTGTGTCTCCCCTTTGTTCCTCCCTTTTTTACCCCTGAAGATAAGGAAGTTTTTAAAAGCATCAGTGAGCTCTCCTCTGCCGTTTATGTGCATGCTCTGCCCTCACTTTCTTCCTCCCCTCCCCCAACTCTCTTATTAGCTCTTACCTGTGTGTTTTTCAGACACACCCGGCTGTATTCCATATCAACCAATCGCTGCACCAAGGAGGTGTACTTCCTGTGTTTTGTGAGAGAAAAATGAAAATGAGGCAGGAGAGTTAAGAAAGTTGTGTACCTTTTTTTGTTTGTTTTTGCCACACAGGCGACCACCTTGGCAGTAGAAGAGAGTTGAAAGGACTGAAGTTGTGGACTGACTAAACAGACCTTTGTTTGATTTATTGGAGATCTCTCTGTTCAACAATAATGACCGACAGGAGAAGAGAGTGAGAAGGAGGAGGGGAAAGATAAGTGTCAATCTGTTGAGACTTGTTTGGGAATTTGAGGAAGGAGGAAGGTCGGGAGCGACTGAGAAAGAGGCAGGAAGAGGGAAGAGCAAGGAGAGCTCTGCTGTAAACAGAGTTTTTGTTTTTTTAGAAGAGTTAAAGGATTGAGAGAAAAGAAAAATCACAGTTAAGATTTGTTCAACAAAAGGAACACGGTTGTTATCTCACCTAGACAATGTGAATACCTGGAATGAATTCTTGTGGGTTGTGCTTTTGAGCTGAGCTGGACTGGAGGGGAGAGACTGGATCTCCACAGGACACCACATTCAGGTAAGTCACTTTTACTGATTTCAGATTAACACTTCTGTAGATTGCTACTGGTTTAGATCTGGTGTAGTTGTGGTTTATATGTAACATGCGGCCTATGTGTCACAGACCCTTGCTTTCTGAAAGATGTCTTTTGATATGCCATGCTTTGCTGGTCACTGCTACATTCTTAGAGAACTGTATGAGAGTCACCTCTCCATGGGCCTGACTCTTGCTTTTCTACTGCAAAGTTTACTTAGGTTTAAAGTATCATGTGGCTTTTAGCCCAGACAATACCAGTGCAGCAATTTAGCATTTTTAACAAAATAAAGTAACAGAAAAACAGACTGAAAACTGTTGAATTATTGCAGAAGTCATAACATGTCAGAGGTAGCTGTAACATTTGGGGATGATGCAGTAGTTTTCTGGATGATTCAACTCTGTGAAATTATGTATATACAAGTTTGTAGAGCCTCCTCATTTTGTTTAATTTGACTTGCATATCAGTGATTTGTTTCAGAAAATGGCTCGACTCTAAATGACTCAGTCCAAAATTAATGTGTTACTGTCTTCTAGGATCTCCAAACTATGGGACTATGGGGACTAAAAGACCCAGCTGCACCATCTCTGACACTTTATCTAACATAAACACATCTGACCGCAAGCTTCAGCCAGGTGGAAAACTCTCCTGGGATCCAAGTCCCAGACCAGTAAAGACTACCCAGTCGGAGCGAGAGAGGGATA